GCAGAGCAGTTAAGCCTATGCTCTGCAACTACCAAGCCTGCTCTCTAGAGCCCAGGAGCTGCAACTCCTGAAGCCCCACAGCTGGAGCCTGTGCACCGCAACAAAGAGCAGCCCCCAGCTCCCACGGCTAGAGAAAGCCCTCCCACAGCAACAGACTGAGTGCAACCAAAAATAAGTTAATTAAAAATATAGTGTTCCCATGAAGTTAAAAAATGGTTAATTTCTATCAATTGGAGGATGATCCTAGACTCCCATGTGTACCTCAATAAGCTTGTCTCAAAACAAATTGTTATTATTGTTCAGTTGCTAAGTTGTGTCTGACTCTTTGTGACCACATGGGCTGCAGCATGCCAGGCCTCCCTGTCCTCCACCATCTACTGGAGCTTGCTCAAATTCAAGTCCACTAAGTTGGTGATGCCATCCAACCATCTCATCCTCTGTCACCCCCTTTTCTCCCTTTCCTCAATCTTTCTCAGCATCAGGGTCTTTCCCAGTGAGTCAGTTCTTTGCATCAGGTGGCCAAAGTATTGGAGTTTCAGCTTCAGCATCAGTCCTTCCAATGAATATTCAAACTGATTTCCTTTAGTTTGACCTTCTGGCAGTCCAAGGGACTCTCAAGAGTCTTTTCCAGCACTACAGTTCAAAAGCATCAATTTTTCGGTGCTCAATCTTCTTTATGGTCCAACTTTCACATCCATACGTGACTACTGGAAAACCATAGGTTTGACTGTACAGACCTTTGCTGGCAAATTAAACAAAATATATTCTGTATTGTGTTTAAATTGGTTTTCTTTTTCTTAGCATTTCAGGCATAACTTTTTAAAATGTGAAAATGCCCATAAACATGTGTATACAGGTATATGCAACTCTGAGATCATGCCAAAAATGTCCATGACTGCCTTGTGATAGTTTTGGAGATGGATATCTAAGTAGAATATGAATATGGACTTGTCATTGGAATGCCATGGAAGCCTCCTGGGTTTGTTCATATAGATCCTAGATAACTGTTGTGAAAGTTTTACAGTCCTATTAAGACTTGCTGAGAATTTGAAAACTTGATATATTGGGTGCATTTCTCTAATAATTCCTGATTCCAGTTTGGTTACTTTTTGAAATATGCTTGATTGGCAGGATAGATTTAAGGTAATCAAGTCCTGAGATAATGAAATACCTATCTATGCATCCGTCCATCCAAGGGAGCTCCTGAAATATTAGAATTTAGTACAAAGTTTCCCTTCATTAAAAATAAATAACAACAATAATAAAAACCTTGGTATTAATTTGAGTTGAAAACTAAGAGCCAAGTCTAATTTTGGTTTCTAATTAGGAAAAATAAGAGGAAGATTTTGTCTTGAAATACTTTCTATTTTATTACTCTTTATTTAGTTAGTTATTGAAGTATAATTGCTTTATAATGTTGTGTTAGTTTCAGCTGTACAACGAAGTGAATCAGTTCTGTGTATACATATATCCCCTCCCTCTTGAGGCTCCCTCCCTGCAACATCCCAGCCCTCTAGGTTGGCACAGAGCAATGGGCTGAGCTCCTGTGAGGCCCAGCAGCTTCCCACGGAGCTAGCTACTTTACATGTGGTAAGCATATATACGTCACTCCCAATTACATCTTTGTTATAAGTATATGTGGACAATATTAGTGAGGTCAGAGCCTTACACCTTAGTGATGTTTTCTTTCCTCTCCTCTCATTTTGTCTTTCCTCCCCTCCATGGTCCTCCTTTCTTTATTTTCTGATAGTGGGTGATGTGCTCAAAAAGAGATGAAAATAACCTGGAAAGAGTCTCTGGACCAGTGAACTCTGAGCCAACAACTTGAGGATGTGGAGAAAGAACCAAAAAAAAAAAAAAGAAAGAAAGAAAGAGACATGGATTCTTCTAAATTTTGTGCAATGCTGTCATTTAAACAGAATTTAGCATTTAAACACAGCACGTGCATCAAGGTTGGTGAGAAGATGGTGTACCAGTAGGCTTGAAAAGAAGGGAAATACATAGTAAGTGTTTTGTTTGAAAAAGCAAGGTTTAAATAGGTTTTATTAAATTGAAAGCATCAAAATGGATTTATGACTTTAAAAAGCCCCCCTCAAAAGCTGAAAGAGTGGAAAGAGCCCCTGCTATCACACTGACTAAAGCTAGAAGGGATAAGGGAAAATCGCAAGCTTCCTGTGGCCTGGATTTCCATCTCTTCTGCTATTCTTATGGAAAGGAACTCAGAATGACTGGTACCAGATCTTGGGAAAATATTGAAAGGAGCTTAGAATGGGAAGGCATGGCTAAGAAATGTTTGCAAAAGAAGAGGAATTGTGACGCTTTCTATCAGATGTGAGAATGTATTATAAAGCTTGAGTAATTAAAAGTGTGGTTCACCAACTGACTTTTCCAAGAAGCAATACCCTTTCCTCCCTCATACCCATTCTTCCCCCTTCCCTCTCCTCCACCTCTCCTAGCCACACCTCCCATCCCAGTAAATTAGGATATAGTATGTAGAACTGGAAGTATTACAAACCAATGTGAAAGGGGAAACTAGATTTTTAGATAAAAGTTAGGTTTAAAAGTCTCACTTTGCATACTGTATCAAAATAAATTTAAAAACTGAAACAAGAAAACTACAGGCCAATATCACTGATGAACATAGATGCAAAAATCCTTAACAAAATTCTAGCAAACAGAATCCAACAACATATTAAAAAAATCATACACCATGACCAAGTGGGCTTTATCCCAGGAATGCAAGGATTCTTTAATATCTGCAAATCAATCAATGTAATACACCACATTAACAAATTGAAAGATAAAAACCATATGATTATCTCAATAGATGCAGAAAAAGCCTTTGACAAAATTCAACATCCATTTATGATTAAAACTCTCCAGAAAGCAGGAATAGAAGGAACATACCTCAACATAATAAAAGCTATATATGAAAAACCCACAGCAAGCATCACCCTCAATGGTGAAAAATTGAAAGCATTTCCCCTGAAATCAGGAACAAGACAAGGGTGCCCACTCTCACCACTACTATTCAACATAGTTTTGGAAGTGTTGGCCACAGCAATCAGGGCAGAAAAAGAAGTGAAAGGAATCCAGATAGGAAAAGAAGAAGTGAAACTCTCTCTGTTTGCAGATGACATGATCCTCTACATAGAAAACCCTAAAGACTCTACCAGAAAATTACTAGAGCTAATCAACAAATACAGTAAAGTTGCAGGATATGAAATTAACACACAGAAATCTCTTGCATTCCTATACACTAACAATGAGAAAACAGAGAAATTAAGGAAACAATACCATTCACCATTGCAACAAAAAGGATAAAATACTTAGGAGTATATCTACCTAAAGAAACAAAAGACCTATACATAGAAAACTATAAAGCACTGATGAAAGAAATCAAAGAGGACACAAACAGATGGAGAAACATACCGTGTTCATGGATTGGAAGAATCAATATTGTCAAAATGGCTATACTACCCAAAGCAATCTATAGATTCAATGCAATCCCTATCAAACTACCAATGGTATTTTTCACAGAACTAGAACAAATAATTTCGCAATTTGTATGGAAATACAAAAAACCTCGAATAGCCAAAGTAACCTTGAGAAAGAAGAATGGAACTGGAGGAATCAACCCGCCTGACTTCAGACTATACTACAGAGCCACAGTCATCAAGACAGTATGGTACTGGCACAAAGACAGAAATATAGATCAATGGAACAGAATAGAAAGCCCAGAGATAAATCCACGAACCTATGGTCACCTTATCTTTGACAAAGGAGGCAAGGATATACAATGGAAAAAAGACAACCTCTTTAACAAGTGGTGCTGGGAAAACTGGTCAACCACCTGTAAAAGAATGAAACTAGAACACTTTCTAACACCATACACAAAAATAAACTCAAAATGGATTAAAGATCTAAATGTAAGACCAGAAACTATAAAAGTCCTAGAGGAGAACATAGGCAAAACACTCTCCGACATAAATCACAGCAGGATCCTCTCTGACCCACATCCCAGAATTTTAGAAACAAAAGCAAAAATAAACAAATGGGACCTAATGAAACTTAAAAGCTTTTGCACAACAAAGGAAACTATAAGCAAGGTGAAAAGACAGCCCTCAGATTGGGAGAAAATAATAGCAAACAAAGCAACAGACAAAGGATTAATCTTAAAAATATACAAGCAACTCTTCCAGCTCAACTCCAGAAAAATAAATGACCCAGTCAAAAAATGGGCCAAAGAACTAAACAGACATTTCTCCAAGGAAGACATACAGATGGCAAAAAAACACATGAAAAGATGCTCAACATCACTCATTATCAGAGAAATGCAAATCAAAACCACAATGAGGTACCATTACACGCCACTCAGGATGGCTGCTATCCAAAAGTCTACAAGGAATAAATGCTGGAGAGGGTGTGGAGAAAAGGGAACCCTCTTACACTGTTGGTGGGAATGCAAAATAGTACAGCCACTATGGAGAACAGTGTGGAGATTTCTTAAAAAACTGGAAATAGAACTGCCATATGGCCCAGCAATCCCACTTCTGGGCATACACACCAAGGAAACCAGATCTGAAAGAGACACGTGCACCCCAATGTTCATTGCAGCACTGTTTATAATTGCCAGGACATGGAAGCAACCTAGATGCCCTCAGCAGACGAATGGATGAGGAAGCTGTGGGACATATACACCGTGGAATATTACTCAGCCATTAAAAAGAATTCATTTGAATCAGTTCTAATGAGATGGATGAAACTGGAGCCCATTATACAGAGCGAAATAAGCCAGAAAGATAAAGACCATTACAATATACTAACACATATATATGGAATTTAGAAAGATGGTAACGATAACCCTGTATGCAAAACAGAAAAAGAGACTCCGATGTATAGAACAGACTTGTGGACTCTGGGAGAAGGCGAGGGTGGGATGTTTCAAGAGAACAGCATTGAGACATGTATATTAGGGGCGGAGTCAAGCGGGGCCTAACATGGCGGCCAGCCGCTACCAGCGGTTTGTTAAGCTGTGTGAGGAATGGCCAGTGGACGAGAGCAAACGGGGCCGGGAGTTGGGCGCTTATCTGCGGCAGCGGGTAGCGCAGGCCTTTCGGGAGGGAGAGAACACCCAGAGTGCAGAGCCTGAGGCCTGTGATCAGATGTACGAGAGCTTGGCACGGCTGCAATCAAACTACTACAAACACAAGTACCCTCGCCCCAGAGACACAAGCTTCAGCGGCCTGTCCCTGGAAGAGTACAAGCTGATCCTGTCCGCAGACACGTTGGATGAGTTTAAGGAGATGAATAAAGGCATGTGGAAGAAGCTGCAGGAGAAGTTTGCCCCCGGGAACCCCGAGGAAAAGCGCAAAGCCTGGGCTCGGGCCCTGTCGCGCCCGCGCACCTAAGCGTCGCGTCGTGTGTGTTGCCATCACCAATAAAACGCCCTGATTCCCCCCCCCCCCCCCCCCCCGCAAAAAAAAGAAGGAAAGAAAGAAACACGTATATTACCTAGGGTGAAACAGATCACCAGCCCAGGTTGGGTGCATGAGACAAGTGCTCGGGCCTGGTGCACTGGGAAGACCCAGAGGGATCGGGTGGAGAGGGAGGTGGGAGGGGGGACCGGGATGGGGAATACATGTAAATCCATGGCTGATTCATCTCAATGTATGACAAAAACCACTGCAATGTTGTAAAGTAATTAGCCTCCAACTAATAAAAATAAATGGAAAAAATAAAAATAAAAACTGAAACATAAGGAACAGAAGAACATGGAAGTGAATTTAGCTTATTTTTTCTAAGTAAAGGACACCCTAAGCCTAAAAAGACATAGATAGGGTAAGTCACAAAGGAAAAATATGTGTATTAGGCTGTAGAAGATTAAGTACTTTTGTTTCATATAATATTATAAACCATATTTGATGGAAAAAGTGGAACTGGAAAGTATTTTTATGACACATGTGGCTGATAGTTTTAAAATTAACAACAAAAATAACATTGTGATAATTCAGTAAGAAATGCCTATGAACCCAGTAGAGAAAGGACAAATATCACAAATCACTGACAAAAGAAAAAACTACCGATGACTAAGAAACATATAATTAATCCTAACCATATAAAAATTTAGGTTTTTGTGTTAATCACAAAAAGGGGAAATAAAAATGACATAGTCATTTTTGATGTATAAGAATGACAAAGGTTACAACTAGAGACACTTCATAAGGATATAGCAGGGGGCTATTCCAGCCACTGCTGATGGGAATTTGGGCTCTGCAGTCTTTCTGGAGATGACTTTTAATCAGTTGCCTCAAAGACTTAGGTCATAAGCTTTTATGACCCAGATAACCATGATGGTATGATCACTCACCTAGAGCCAGACATCCTGAAATGCAAAGTCAAGTGGGCCTTAGGAAGCATCGCTACGAACAAAGTTAGTGGAGGTGATGGAATTCCAGCTGAGCTATTTCAAATCCTAAAAGATGATGCTGTTAAAGCGTTGCACTTGATATGCCAGCAAATTTGGAAAACTTAGCAGTGGCCACAGGACTGGAAAAGGTCAGTTTTCATTCCAAACCCAAAAAAAGGCAATGCCAAAGAATGTTCAAACTACCGCACAATTGCACTCATCTCACATGCTGGCAAAGTAATGCTCAAAATTCTCCAAGCCAGGCTTCAACAGTAGGGGAACCAAGAACTTTCGGATTTTTGAGCTGGATTTAGAAAAGGCAGAGGAACCAGAGATCAAATGGCCAACATCTGTTGGATTATCGAAAAAACAAGAGCGTTCCAGAAAAACATCTACTTCTGCTTTTTTGACTATGCCAAAGCCTTTGACTGTATGGATCACAACAAAATGTGGAAAATTCTTCAAGAGATGGGAATACCAGACCACCATACCTGCTTCGTTTGTATGCAGGTCAAGAAGCAACAGTTAAAATCAGACATGGAACAACAGACTGGTTCCAAATGCTTATTTAGATTATATGCAGAGTACATCATGTGAAATGCCTGGCTGGATGAAGCACAAGCTGGAATCAAGATTGCTGGGAGAAATATCACTAACCTCAGGTGTGCAGATGACACCATCTTTATGGGAGAAAATGAAGAGGAACTAAAGAGCCTCTTGATGAAAGTGAGAGTGAAAAAGCTAGCTTAAAACTCAACATTCAAAAAACTAAGATCATGGCATCTGGTCCCATCACTTCATGGCAAATAGATGGAGAAACAATAGAAACAGTGACAGACTATTTTCTTGGACTCCAAAATCACTGTAGGTGGTGACTGCAGCCATGAAATTAAAAGACGCTTGCTCCTTGGAAGAAAACTATGACCAACCTAGAAAGCATATTAAAGAGCAGAGACATCACTTTGCCAACAAAGGTCTGTCTAGTCAAAGCTATGGTTTTTCTAGTAGTTATGTATGGGTGTGAGAATTGGACCATAAAGAAGGCTAGTGCTGAAAAATTGATGCTTTGACCTGTGGTGCTGGAACAGACTCTTGAGAGTCCCTTGGACTGCAAGGGGATCAAACTAAAGGAAATCAGTTTGAATATTCATTTGAAGGACTGATGCTGAAGCTGAAACTTCAATACTTTAGCAGCCTGATGCGAAGAACTAACTCACTGAAAAGACCCTGATGCTGGGAAAGATTGAAGGCAGGAGGAGAAGGGGGCAACAGAGGATGAGATGGTTGGATGGCATCACCAACTCGATGGACATGAGTTTGAGCAAGCTCCTGGAGTTGGTGATGGACAGGGAAGCCTGGTGTCCATGGGGTTGCAAAGAGTCATATACAACTGAGCGACTGAACTGAATTGATCCCACTTTTGGATTTGATCTGGTAAACTTATAGGAATGTTTGAATATTAATATGTAAGAATTGGCATTTTAATATTCAGATATTACACTCACTCTTGATGTAGAAAACTAAAACCTCTTAAATGTTCAATACTAGAGAATAGAAAAAATGATTGTTTATGTACTACAGAAATAAGGCAGGCAAGATAAGAAATAAGGCACAAAAGTGAAGTGTTCAAAGTGGTTGTGTTTTAGATATAAGGATAGGATCAAGCTTTTATGGAAGGGTATATCTTTTTCCTTTTTTTCCTTTTGTAATTTGCTTTACTCCTCCAAATTAGCATGTATTATTTCTAAAATTCAGAAAAAATAAAGATCACACTTAAATATATACCTCTTTGATATATATATATATAATGAAGTATAGAACTGGTAATGGTAAAATGTTAGGTGAAAAAAATTAGGGTATAAAGTATGTATACAATAAGTTTATGATCTTATAAAATATAATTAGCACAAAGACTAGCAGAAGAAACATCATAGTTCATATCATTAACCATAGTTCTCACCCGTGGTTTTCAAATTTTCTTTTTTTATATATGTCTGGATTTTCCCAATTGTGAGTAATGGGTGTAAATATTTTATCCCTAGTAGAAAAGGGAAAGAATGATCAGAAGAGAGATTCTTATAGTTGGCTTGGGCTTTCCTTATTCTGGGTATTTTTAATATATGTTTACCAGGTCTCTTTCACTTTTAAAAAATGTTTATTTATTTGGCTCTGCCAAGTCTTAGTTGTGGCATGTGGGATCTTTAGTTGCAGCATATGGGATCTAGTTCCCTGACCAGGGATCAAACCCAGGCCCCCTGCATTGGGAGAGCAGAGTCAGCCACTGAACCACCAGGAAAGTCCCAGGTCTCTTTCACTTTTGGTGATAATCAAAAATTTGTTTTCCAAATAGTGATGTCTCATGTCTATAGGGAACAAGAAATTTGATGAAACTGCAATCTGAACCTTTTGGAATTTAAAACTATAAACTCTGTGAGGATATATATAGAGTGCTCTTTGTTGCATTCTTTTCCCATCCTATGCTAGCATTTAGACCTAAAATGAAAGGAGTGAAAAAAGATATGACATGCAGATTCCAGACATTCCTTCCTAACCAGAAAGATTTTTAACTGCTTATGAGAATTTTTTCCTCAAATATGCCAACTCTTTTATTTCATGTATTATTTGATGCCTTCCAGACTTTTTGTTGTTGTTGTTAAATACTGATACAATCTTGTAATTTCTCTTCCTTTAAACATGTGCTTCTGTGATTTGCAAATAAATCTGTTAACTCGGAGGATATTGGTTTATGTGTCATTGAGCAAATCATGTGATGTTTTCTCTTTATTAATCTTTCTAATAAACCAGAATATTGAAAAGATACTCTGATAGGTCTAAAATAGATTAATAAGCATTTTAAACATTCATAAAGTTCTTTGAAACTTATAGGCCTATATTATCATATATAATTGATGTTATTCTATTATTAAAACTTATTTTCATCATCTACTGAAATATAGTCTATTTTAGTTATTCCCAGTCTCTGAGTGACTAAACATAGAACAAATCCTTTTAGGACTTGTACTGTATTTTAACTTAGCAGTAATTACCTTAGATGGAAATGAAACACTAATAGTCTTGATCTGCAGGACTCAGTTCAAGTCTAGAATATAAAGGTTAATGGCCTCTGGTGCATTCCAAGGGTGAACAGAAAGTTTGGAGGATAAGTTGGCTCATATAATGTTTACAGGAGTGACTTTGAAAGCTTAGAAGGTCAATTTTAACAACTTTAAATAAATATGAAGTTATTTTTCTTATATAGTGAATAAATATAGTAAGTACAGTCTCATGAGGCTATTATTATATTTCATTTATTTTTATCAATATTGGGTCATCTGAGAACTATTCTAAGTTTCTGTTATGTATCTAAACCACTACCTAACTAATAAGGGTAAAATGAAAAATCCTTGTGTATGACTTTTTCTCTGGCTTTTAGTTCATCAGTCCTAGTAACTGTAGCAATTTTAAAAATCGACTCTGAAGAAGAATAAAGGCTTGTGTAGTGTATGTGTGTGCGTGCGTGTGTTTTCCCTTTTCTTCTGCCTGATGCTTCTGGTGTGTGACTTGGTTACCTGAAAGGGTCTGAGTATTTAGATACAGTACTAAAGAGGGGTAATGACAGCTCTCAGAGGCATTACATTTGAAAGATATGTATGAATGTATTTATTTATTTGCCTCAGCCAGATCTTAGTTATAGCACGAAGGATCTTCCATCTTCAGAATCTTTAGTTAAAGCATCTGGGATCTTTTTTTTTTTCTTTTCTCTTTTTCTTTATTTGCAGTGTGTGGGATCTAGTTCCCTGACCAGGGATGGAATCTGGGCCCCCTGCATTGGGAGGACAGAGTCATAGAAACTGGACCACCAGGGAAGTCCATGAAGGCATTACATTTTTATTCTTTTTATTCTCAACATGAGTCTTATTTTCCCACCTGATAAGAATGCTATAATAGAAAACAGTAAAGAAAGACATCTTGTTAGATAATATGCAAATTAGTCTCCTGGTA